CCTCTTTTCCCCCACCCCCCACCAAATCAAGCAAGAATTTCTACACAGGCTTATCAGAGGCACCTAATTATCACAACACACCCTTTGGCAGGATCTTTAGGAAAGGAGACCAAGATTCAAGCACTTCAGCATCTACTGACAGCAGGAGATTACTGTGTAGAAGCACTGCTTTCTTCCAACCCTCTTTTCAAGTCTCTACATGATACTGAGCCAAGTTCAAGACAGGACAGGCAGTGGAAATGAAGCAAAAAGAAAGTAGAGCAGACTGCTAATCTGATCATGAGTAACCAGAAGTAAAGAATAATTTAATTAAAGAATGTCACAGCAGCCTCTTTTCTCACCTTCACAAATCATTGGCTCAATTGTAAATACGTGGCCGGCCTTCATCACTCCAACTGCTTTATTTTCTGAAATTAAAGAAAAAAAAATCCTATGGTATACTGTTAAACAGCTCCCTGGAAAAAAGTACACAACTTATATTCCCATGTGTGATTCATAAATTAATTACTTTCTCCTCTCCTGATTCCCTTTTCTTAAAGCTAGATCATTCAACAAACAGGGGTTTTACTGATAAGCATCCATTCTCGGGCAGATATTGTCCTCAGTATATCTCATTTTGCTTTCATTTCTTCTAGGAAAATACAGAGATGCCCATGGGCTGGATTTCAGACGTGCGTACCACTTCTATAAAAAGAAAGGAGTCCCTTTGTTGTAGCAGATTCAGAATTGCAATCATGGAACCAAGCAAAGCTCCAGGACTCATCCAGGTATGACAGTTTAAAGGAGAACAAGATACTTCAGATTATGCCACAAGTCTCCCACCTCTGGGTGGGTGGGGGTGAGCTAGGGGTGTGGGTAGGGGCAAAACAACTGCACCATTTTCATAAAGTTTTGTAAATTGTCTCATTTTCAGAGGAGACCAAAGCCTCTGCACACCAACCTATTTTTTTTAATGCTAACAAGATTATTCCTCTTTGGTAACAAAAATTCCCCTTCTCCCTCGAAATACTTTTTTGGAGCTTTTTGTCCAAGTTCACTAATATGAAAATATTTTTCATCATGAGAAACACTTCTATGAATTAATGTGTCCAGACCAGCCATCTCCCCAAAAAGGTCAAAATTTGTAAACAGGGATAGACCTTTTCAGACAAACTTAGACAAAAACGGAGAACCAGTTTAAATTTCAAACTAAAAACCAAGAACGGATAAGAGCGTCAGTAAACGAGTGCCCGCACTTGCTCGGCCTGACCACCAGGTGGCAAAAGTACCAGCTTCCAGGGTTTCTTGGCAAGGCTGCCGGTCTCCGTGATGGCAACTCTAATGAGTGACAAGTGTCCACTGAGGCTGAATCTACCAAACGCCACTCTGTCTAGATGTGGTCCAACCTCGCCCTCACATTTACATTCCTGCACAGCTTTCCTTATGAATAGCTATCATGTACCTTTCCACTATCTCAGGTATTGCCAAAATGCATTTATTCTACAGATTCCAAAACAGAGGTTTCTAAAGTGTTACAAAAATCTGAGGGGCAAAAATAACTTTGACTTTTTACTTCTAATCTCATGAACTTTCTCTCCAAATGACATGCAGTTTAGTACACATAAAGACTTGGTCATATTCCCTCGCGGACATTAAGAAGAAAATGCCAAGGGAGTCAATGTGGTGTCACGGAAAGAAAAAAAAAGGATAGAGGAATCAGGGGCTGTGCTGGCCAGCACAACAGCAGCTGGGTGTGTGCGGCTACTGAGCACCTGAGAAGTGGCGAGTCAGAACGAGACAGGCTGCACTGTGAAAACTATGACCGTTTCAAAGACAAAGAGGGCACATAATACATCTCAGCGGTTTTCACACTGATTAAATGTGGAAACGCTAAGATTTTAAATGTAATGGACTAAATAAAATATAAAATGAACTTCACATATTTCTTTTCACTTTCTGAATATAACCACTATAAATTTTAATATTACATATGTGCCTTGTAATATATTTCCACTGGACAGCACTGTCACAGAGAATCCAAGTTCCACTCCTGTTTATGCCACTGGTTCATAGTTCTAGAAAAGTTACAACTCCCACTCGTCTCATGGTTTCAGCCTCAACATACCTCACTCAACATGTACATTATCTGATGACACTACAGCAGATCTATTGCTAAGTACTTTTACAAAAATGTGTACCTGCTCTACCACCTCCCCCAGAGAGTCACCGTGATACACATTCTAAAGGTACAAGAGTATCATCATTACTTCCCCATCATAATGACATATATAAAGAAACAAAACAAACTCATCTAACAAGGACTTCCCTTACACAGAAGGGGTGGAGGGAAGTTACACAACAATTTCCTGGTTCTGCCCTCAGCTAGTTAGGAATATGGAGCTACCAGCCAAAGCAGGGATCATTTACATTTCAAAAGACCTCTGCCATACAAAGGCTCTCTTAGCAGCTGCCTTTAACACTTCCCTAAAGGAAGCACAACATAGTATGATTTATCTAAACCCGATTAACACTGGGCTTTTCATAAACACATCAAATGGATGAAATGAAGTATACTCGGTCCTTGCTTCTTTTTTCAGAATTGTTATATTTCTAATTAAATAGTTTAACACGTTCATCAAATTGTGCATGTGAAACGTGTAGTTTACTGTACAGGAACCATACCACAATAAAGGTGTTAAAAAAATTTTTTTAATAGTTTAACACGAAACTCAAGTGGCATCTCTTGTGTATCTCAGTTGTATCTCATCATCACTGACCCATATCTCCTTCGTCCATAAATTCTATCTCCTTCAAAGTCTCTCTTTATCTAATCCATACCTAACCCTGAGTTTGTCACCTGTCCCCGCCGACTCTCTTTACACACACACACACACACGGTCTGTAAGCACATATGCTCAGAATAGCGACTTCCTTTCCGTGAAAGGGGATGAATGTCAGGTGATCACAGGACTTACCAGGAAGAAATAAGGTCAGCTATTTATTTTCTGTTGCTAGCTTCATTTCAAGCTCCATTCCAGCTGAAACAGAAAGGACTATGTGGCCTGCTAATAAACGCTTACTGATGTATGTCAAACGCTGTGCTTTGAGCGACTCCTCTAGCTGCCCCTGTTGAGAGGTTTCTCACTCCGCTCCCTTTCTCTTCACAACTACTGACAACTTGGATTTTACTACCTCACACCTGGGTTCCGGCAGCAACTGTGCACTGGGCTGACCAGCTCACACCTGCAGTACGTTCTAGACACCACTGCCAAAGTTATCTTCCCAAAATAGCAACTTCACCTTGCCATTCTTCTGCCAAAAAGTGTTCTGCAAATCCCTACAAATGAAGTCAAATATCCTCAGCCTGGCACTGCCTCTTTCTAGCTCTTTACACTTAATTCTCAGCCCAAGCTTATCTTGTCTCTGTTCGGTCTCAACTTGAAGCACCTATTCTAGTCACGCTTCCCCACGGCCTGGAATGCTCTTCCTCATCTTCTCCAGCAAACCAAAATCTCATTCTCTCTCTATTTCTCTCACAAGACCCAGCACCAAACTGCTTCAGTCCTTACGAGGCAGCATGAAGTACAGCAGAAAAGACTGATTTGAGAAAACCACAGAACCCAAGTAGCAACCCTGGCCCTGGCACTGACTGGCTAATTTGTGTGACACCTTGGATAAATAAATCACTGCCCTAAGCACAGAATCTGACTCTTAAAACAGGGCTAAGAAATTATTCGTAGAGTTGTGATGATCAAATGAGATAATGTATATCATCACCGCCATCATTACAATCATTCTAAAAGTTAACTTTAAGTACGTCCATGTCCTCTCTCACTTAATCCCAGTAACAGTTCTAGGAGAGGTGCCATTCCCTGCTACTGTACAGATGAGAAAACATAAATACAGATACATCAAAGTGTCTATGTGGCTACGGCTCCTATATGTTTGTTAAATTCCTCCTTAAGTCACTTAACTGTGGACAGCTTTCATTTCCAGCACTAAATAAGACTTATCCCTCCAAGAGAAACGTTTCTAAAAGACATTCACTGCCCAACACTCCCTCTGTTCATCTATTAGACAGCACTCAGCTTGAGGAAACGTACTTGTCTATTCCCCTCTGTTTATACTAGCAAATAACACAGTATCTGACATACACCAAGAACTCAATCAACCAAGCTGAACCAATTTCATTTAAGGAACAGGGATACACACGGACTGTTGTCTGTTGATCAAAATGACTAGTTTCCTTTTCTTGCAGAGTACTCAGCTGGATTACACTTCCCCACCTCCCTTGCAGTTAGTGTAGCCATGTGACTGAACTCCTGCCAATGAAAAGTAAATGTGATTTATGCCAAGTCCAGGCTGTCTCGTTAAGACCTCCCAAGCACACCCCTCCGTGCCTCTCCCCTCCTCCCTCCTCAATAACTACAGGATTAGGAGGGTAAGCCCCAAAGTGACCCTGACCTTTAGGTTGAAAAATGACAGAGCCTGGGTCACAGCTTAACCATCCCGCCCACCGCACCGCTACAGTGACCAAACACACATGCTCTGGACTGTTATGTGAGCAAGATATGAATGTGTATTGTATGTATACACTTTGGGGCTCTATGTAAAACAGCTAATTGATTAATAAATACAAAACAGTACATCCTGTTAAATGTCTGAATAGAAATGTGTTGATTAAATGGTTAGCAAATACCAAATCTGTGAGACAGTACTTACTGGCATAGTGGGGTACATTGGGGGCTGTATGAAAAAGCTTGTGGATTCCATGCCCACAGTAGCTTCGAACAACTGAAAAGCCATTTGCTTGGGCGTGCTTCTGAATAATGTTTCCCAATTCTCTGTATCGAACACCAGGTTTCACTGAAAGGAAAAGAGAAGACTCGTGACAATGAGTTAAGAATAACTAATAATTACTAAGCAATCACTATCCATGCCAGGAACCTTTCTGAATGCTTTACATACCTACATGCCGAAATTTTCAGGATGAGGAAACCGAGGCAGAGAGAGGCTAAACTGAGGCTCCGCTCAGCAGTGTGGCACCTCCTCCTTTGGGGCAGAAGAGGAGGACGTGTGTGCAGCACGAAGGGGTTGGAAGGGGCACTGTTGCTCTCTGAATAAACAAGAGAATGGAAAACACATTCTCTTCCTCGCCTTCCCTATGATCAGTGTGCTCTTCTGTTAATGCAAGAAGAGATACGAACGGAAAGAGCACGGAAGAAATAGGAATTTCTAAAAAGTAACTTGATTTGTCCTGTTTCAGTCCAGTCAAGTCTTCAAAGAATTACTTCCCCGGGTTTCTTTATTCCCATAAGAGTGGGTCTCAAATTATTCACAGTTGCCTCTGCAGAAGGTCTTGGGAGCAGGGTATATATGGAAAGGTACTTCTCAGAATATACTTCCTGCCCTGTTTAATTTTTATGACTTTTTTTACTGTTTAAATAAAAACCGAAAGTGGTTCTCATTGCTATGATGGCTCTCCTAGCACTGGGACCCCAGGATCCAGGCACTGGCAGACTCCTGGGGAGCCAAGTCATGATTCTGGGGCTCCTCCCACTCCCTAGTCTGCTCCGCTGCCTACCTCATTTCCAACCTGAGGTTCAGGTACAACTTACCCTCTCCAGCCAATCAAATTCCTGGGCAAATGACTCAAGGAATCATTTTAATTAACATTTACTTGCTTTTAACAAGATGTCCCAGCCTGGCATTTTTGAGGGCGGGAGGTTAATGTTTTTGATGAATATGCTGACTTTCATAATGACTTTCCTGCACCCAAGCCTTCCTACCAGCCCCAGTCAGTGGGGAAGGAAAGCCAAAATTTTAACTCACGTTGCACAGCATACAATAAAGAAAATCCCTGTGCAACAACAATGAGGGAGGGTGAGAGACTTCTTCCTAATTCTCAAACTGGAGGCAGTCCTGGTCCCGAGGGTACACTGCACAGCATCTGGAGACATTTCTGGTTGTCACAACTAGGAGTGGTGGGGGCATCTAGCAGCTGGAGACAGGGATGACGCCAAGTGTCCTACAGTCCACAGGGCAGGCTCCTACAACAAGGAAGTGTCAGGCCCAAAAGCCATTAACATGTAGGCTGAGAAGCTCTGTTCTGGAAGCCAACTGCAACAGCAGGTCAAGCCGTCTGGCGTTCTGTGCCAGGGTGGGCAGCCAAATTATTGGAAAATATAGGGCAGGAATAAAACACACAAAGGTGTTAATAGCACTCTCCAGAGATTAAGCAACTTTTGTTCTTTCCTGTCTGCTGTTATGATGACTTGGCTTTTTGGTAGTTGGCTTAGCAAATTTTATTCCTGTGTATTTGTAAAACCGCATTCTAGCTGTCTGGTTGTTTTGATCAACTCACAGAAAAGCAAAGAGGATATAAACACTGAACACATTATCTGGCAAAAACTCTAAAAACTATTTAAAGCTTCCACAAATGAGAAACTAAACATTAAAGTTCTCATCTCATAATAGCACCCAGAATACTAAAGTTTTTAAATATAATGAACAGTGAATTATAAAGAGAAAGAAATCTCTTATATTGATACATGAAAATAGTCACATGCTTTCATTTTTCATTCCTCCAACTTTATTAAATTAATAAAAATTTTATCATTTATGGATGTTGAATGGCCTAAAAACAATAAAAATAAAGGATCTATGTTGCAAGAGATAACTCTACATTTGGCTAAGAACCCTGTCTTGTCCAATACACTGCTGAAGATATATCAGGTTGATTTATTGTGGGGGGGGGATACGTTGAACAATAAAGTTGAAACGCTGGGGATTTCAACTGAAAAGTTCTTTGCCCTCAAACTGTCCTTTGTAATAGTCTGTTAACACTTGTAACAAGCCTTTCCTTCTCTTCCCTCACAAGATATAGCATAAATGAACAAAACCTGGAAGAACTGTTTGTCTCGACAAAGACAGTGTGAGAAAAAAACCTATGGCAATATACTGCTAACCAAAGATGTGATTCACTACAATAGCAGGATTCCTGGAAAACACCAAAATCCAAATCCAGGAGGGGAACAGTTGTAGAAATTTTTATACTACAGAATATAATATGCAGCCATTAAAGAATGGAGCAGATCTATGCACCCAGATACGTATATGTGCTAATTTGGAAAAATCTATAAGACATTAGTAGTTGAAAAAGCACCAAATTACTGAATACTACAATGTTTTATGATTCCCCTTAACCTAAATAAACACATAGTTATGTGTGTGTGTTAATGCACAGAGGAGAAAAAAATCTAAATGTTAAAAGTGGGCATCTCTGGAGACAAGAGAGATAAAAAGGAACAAGAGACAAGAGGAAAGGACGATCACTCATTTCTCTCTCATAATCTAATGTTTTCTTTTAGTTTTTTACAATGAGAACATAATACTAACAAAAGAATTTTTAAAAGTAGGAGAAAAGCTGTACTCAAGAACTATCTTCACATTCCTCCTCATTTATCAACCAAAGAAAAGGAAGATAAATCACAGGCAAGACGAAGGCTGACAAGCCCTAATCTGATTCCCAAATCAGCCTCAGACCTATGACTGCTGAGCCCAGGTAACTCAGGCAGGGCAGGAGCACGGCTGGGAGGGACAAGGAAGACAGGGCAGAGGACAAGCCACTTGAGGCCCAAACCACACAGCGGTTCCAATAGGTGCCCAGCACGGGCCTGACCTGCGTCGATGGCTTGCATCAGACATTCATACGTGGTCTGCACCAGCTTCCGAGCTCCCTCGTCCACATCTCCAACAAAAAACGTCTCATTCAGGTCCCCATGATAACCACTGCGGTAAAGAGTGATGTCCACTGCAAGAGGATGTGCAAACAAAGACCACATTTGTTTTCACTTCAAAATTGAAGTCAAGTTTCGGTAACGTGACAGAATCGAGCAGCTTAATGAGAAGGTAACTCCTGCATTCACAAATGACACCAGCAATACATACTCAGTGTCCGACAGACACTTCTTGTCTGCAACGCAGCTAAACTCACCATGGAAAGCAGGGCCGCGGTCACGCAGCCCAAGGCAGACGGCAGGCTGCAACACTCTCACAGCCGGGACTAGATCACTTACAGCAGAAGACAACTGTGCCCAGGATACATTCGTGTAAGATCAATTAACCTGAGTTAATAACATTAAACGAAGGACTCTGCTACACTGTGATGTTGAACAGCAAATACTGCTTTCACTGATTTTCTTTAACGGGTTTTTCCTCCTCTTCGTCAATCAATAAACAGAAAAATTTACACTATTCTATAACTATTTTTCAAAAACTCATTTGCCTTTCACTTACCTGTGACTATTCATCCTTCTCTTTGTCTCCATGTCTAAAAGCACAGATTGCTACAACACCACTAAAACACACTAAATGTATATACTACACTAAAGAGAACAGTCAATGAGCATTTTCAAACCATGAATTTTCAGTCAATTTACAATATCGCAGTGTAGGTTTGTTGGCTCTAGCGCAATACATACGTTCCTTAAAAACCTCACACATCATGCATGTAATAAAAATAACAGGGCTTATATGAAAAACAGCATTGAGCAGACCCCTCAGAACCTATGGAAATTTATAAATAGATACTCTAACTGAAGCCATAACATTTCATATAAAAACAGCGTCAGTTAGGTCTCCGCGATCATTCACAACCAGCATCAGGGCCGGTTCATTCTCGGTAGCCTTTAACATCTGGGCTCATGCTTCCTTGTTTGATATATACATCTCTGAAGATATGTGATTACTAAAGAGACCAAGTTCATCACTATCAAAAATGCCATTGAAGGGAGCCTTCTTCACCAATTTTTTTAGTATCACAGGGGGAAATAAGCATGTTGGCAGCTGCTTTCTCTGCACTTGCAGCTTCCCCAGACAGCTTTATATAGTGTCACTTTCTGTATTAAAGTGACACTAAAGCCACTTTCTGAACTTCTCACATCAAGGACAGTACTTCTGCAGAACTTTTAGCTTTCATCTTAATGTCTTCAGGTATTACTAATGATTTTTCTTTACCTGTAAGAAAGATTGCCCTAACTAATCTCTTCAAAACCAATAGTGAACTGAAAGAAAAAAGAAGAAATCTAAAATCCCACTTGAATCAACATTACTTCCACATTTCACTGACATTTTTCACCTAATTACCCATCACATATGATTATCTGCATGAAAGAACCTGTACCAAACACTTCATACTAGAAGTTATCTTGAAAGCAGTTAAGTATCTTCAAACCACAAAAAAAGGTCTTCCTAGACTTTAGATTTATTTTAAATTTTAAATACAAAAAAGTAAGTTAAAGACTGGAAGCAAATGAAGAAAATGCAATTCACTATCAGACTCCCAAAGCCTTGCAAATGTTTCTCTGATCATGGTGACAAAAGTCACACTTACAGATTTCTTACCGTTAACAATATCTCCTTCCTGCAAAGGCCGTCTGTCTGGAATTCCATGGCAGATCACTTCATTCACTGAAGTACAACAAGACTTTGGGAAATTATAATAATTCAGAGGAGAAGGGTAGCAATTTCTTGCAATGCATGCCTATAATAAAATACAGAGAAAATAATCTGGAATATGCAAAAGAAAAAAATTAATCTGTAAGCAATTAACCAGACTTAAAAATTTTAAAAAATGTGAAAAAATTTGCTGTATAAATGCTACTCATGACAAACTTATTTAATATTTTATTTTAGAAACAGTAGTAGATATTACCTCTTGAACAGTATACAACAGGATTTGTAGCAGTCAGACCTTAGGCAAACCAGTTTACTGATGGTTGCAAAGTAAAAGCAAACTCACACATTACAAATGTTACTATATGAAGACTCTAGTTTAGAATTACCTACTCCTTATTAAAAAATATATTATTTAAAGTAAATATTAACATGCATATTTAATGTAATTATAATTTCTTCTATTAAAAACAAGCCTCTATCCCGACGACGAAAAAATCAACACTAGTATAATTAAGAGATGGCAAAGTATTTCCAGAGGCATTGTAACCACTACATTTCACGTGGAACAACAAAGGAACCTCTGAGAAAATGATCTAGTCTCCCATAAACAAGTCCTATTTTACTTGGATGTTTTTATGCAGTGGTAGTCATAGCATACATAATTTCTCTTCCCATATTGCCACACAATCTTCAGACTAATAATTTTTAAATAGTTGCATACAATAGAATTTATAGAATGTACTATAATTTTATTGGCATGTCTATTATTGAAAATTCAAAATAAGTTCCCTCAATTACAAAAAAAATTACAATCAATAATACATGCTTATAATTTTTCCTTTATTCAACGACACACTACTGCATTTCTCACAGCAGTACAAATAGTCAAGAGCATAAAGAAGCAGATTGTGTTGACTGAAAATGCCAACTCCATTACTTACAGGTTGTGTAACACTGGGCAACTGAACCCCTCTCTGCCTCAATTTCCTTATCTAAAAGATGGAGATGAGTAGCATCCACCACATGGAGTTGTTGGGGAGACTGAGTTCGTAAAAGCAGCACGTAAAAGAGCACCTGGCCTACAGGAAGTGTTCACACTGCCATCAGTGCATACTATATACAGCAGAGCCCAAACAATGCGGGGGCGGGGGTGGGGGCGGTTAGGGACCCTGACCCCCTCAGCAGTCAAAAATCCACATAAAACTTGCCTCCCTCAAAACTTCACTAATACCCTACTGTTGACCAGAAGCCTTACCAACAACAGAAACAAATCAGTTAACATATTTTTCATGTTACATGTAGTATATACTGTATTCTTACAATAAAGTAAGCTAGAGAAATTATTTTAAAAATTGAAAGGAAGAGAAAATATATTTACAGTACATACATGTATTTACTGAAAAAAAAATCCACATATAAGTGGACCCATGTAGTTCAAACCTGTGTTGTTCAAGGATCAACTGTATTTTATAAAATATGGAACTGTATTTTATAAAATACGGAACATTCCAAAAATCAGGATTTATATAACTCCAAATAAAAAAAATTTTTAACATTTTTAAAGCTCAAGACACACTGTCAAATTTCCTTTCAAAAGGATTGTCCCAATTTACAATAACACCACTTTAAAAAAAAAAAAAAAAAAAGGACCAATTTCACATAGGCAAAGGACATAAACACCTAACTTATGGCTTGCATCTGTTTGACTACCAGGGCAGGTTTAACTAGTTTTCCATGTGATTTACTAACTAGTTATTGCTCTCCTATTATGAACAACCTAATCATATCAAGTGTAAACTCGTCTACTACAGTGGTTTAAGGTCTCTCCTTGCTGGACATGCAATCTTTATTTAAAAAGTACCCCTCTATCATATTTACTACAAATATGTATCTGGTCTATTTACAGCCTTGGTATTGTAGATATAAAAGGGAACTTTCTCTACTAAAGTAGTTTCAAAAGTAATATTCTTTCTTATTTCAGAATACTTGATGCATGTGGTGGCATAATTTACTTAAAGCACTAATAATATTATTCCTCTTATAAAAGCTCAACTAAAATGTTATGAAATGTGAGGTTTCAAGCTTACCTCAGACCTCAGTATCATAGATACTTAAAAATGGGAACAATGACTGCTGAATATTTTCTATATTTGAACCAAAATAAAAATCTGCTTTCAAATTAGCTTAGTCAAGTGTAGCTATTCAGAACTTATGTGTACTTAACTTTTAGAAGTCTAAAATGTCTAACAGTATGAAAAA